GCAAAGCCTATAAATCGCTGTATTGCCTTAAGACCTTGAGGAAGAGGCCAAGACAATATATCTTCTAATTTAGAAGGATCCATACTGAACCCCTGTTCAGAAATGACGTACCCTAGGAATTGTACTGATTTCTGGTCAAATAAACATTTCTCCAATTTACAATAAAGACCGTTCTGTAGCAATCTCTTAAGTACCTTCCTCACATGGTTATGATGTGACTCCAAATCAGGAGAGAATATGAGTATATCATCGAGATAAACCACAGCACAGACATGCAGTAGATCTCTAAGGACATCATTTATGAAGTCCTGAAAGACAGCAGGAGCATTACACAGTCCAAAAGGCATGACTAGATACTCGTAATGCCCACTGCGTGTATTGAACGCTGTCTTCCATTCATCATTTTCTTTAATACGAACCAAGTTGTAAGCCCCCCTGAGGTCTAGTTTAGTAAAATATCTAGAACCTTTAACACGGTCAAACAACTCAGTAATGAGAGGGATAGGATAAGCATTTTTAATTGTTATATTATTCAGACCCCTATAATCTATACATGGTCTCAAATCGCCCTCCTTCTTGGCAACAAAAAAGAAACCAGCACCAGCAGGAGAGGAGGACCTTCTGATAAAACCTTTACATAAGGATTCCTGTATGTACTCCTCCATGACCTGGTTTTCTTTCTCAGAAAGCGGGTAGACCTTACCCCTAGGAGGCATCGTTCCAGGTAACAAATTTATGGCACAATCATAATCCCGGTGTGGGGGTAGTTTATCAGCTTCCCTCTTTTCAAAGACCAATGCGAGGTCTGCATACACAGGAGGGACAGAAACAGAAAGTGGTTTAGCTGTAGGCACATTAATTAAACAAACGGGATGTAAACGGGCCATACAATCCTGTTGACAAGATACCCCCCAGGATAGTATATCTAGAGAATCCCAATCGAGTACTGGGTTATGCTTCACTAACCAGGGAAAACCCAGAATGATGGAAGCTGTAGGGGAGTCAATTATTTGAAAGGCTATCCTTTCTTTGTGTAAGGCACCCACGACCATAACCATTTCTTGGGTTTCATGGGTCACCAGAGGTTTCTCAAGTGGTCTACCATCTATGGCCTCAATGGCCAAGGGTGTGGCCTTTTGGATCAGATTCATGGCTGCGGTTTTAGCAAAGTTCTCATCCATAAAGCTGTCTGCAGCACCTGAATCGATCAAGACTTTAGTTGTTATCGTGGTTTTATTGACCAAAAGAGAAACCGTTATAAATGGTGTAGAGATGGACATATGAGGGGAAAAAACCATAACACCCGAGGCCGACCCCTCTCTAGGCCTTAGGTGCTGGAGTTTCCCTGCAAACTAGGACAGTTTCTTCGGAGATGCCCCCTCTTACCACAATAAAGGCACAAACCCTCCCTTCTGCGGTACGTTCTTTCAGCTTCAGATAAGCCTACAGCACCTAATTGCATGGGTTCGGGAGGTGGTTGATTAGGGGGAGGTAATGCTAGCAATGCAGTACTGGGTAAAGCAGGCAACCCCTGTGTATTCATCCTCCTTTGACTACGCCTCTCTCTGATACGGTTGTCAATTAGAATGACATAATCTATTAGATCATCCAGAAGAAGAGGCATTTCCCTGGATGCTATCTCATCTAATATGTAAGCAGCCAAACCCTCTTGAAAAGCTGTTACGAGAGCGTCGTTATTCCAGACCACTTCAGCTGCCAAAGTACGGAATTCAATGGTATAATCCGCTACTGATCTATTACCCTGTCGAACCCTAAGCAGAGCTTTGCCAGCAGAAGCAACCCGGCCGGGTTGGTCAAACGTACGTTTAAAAGCTGTTAAGAAGTCTGAAAAGGACATTGGGGACGTATTCTCCCACATGGGATTAGCCCATGCTAGAGCTTTCCCGGACAAATGGTTAATCAAAAAGCAATTTTGGTTCTGTCAGTGGGGTAGGAACGAGGATTCATCACCAAATGAATATCAATTTGGTTGAGGAAACCACGGCACAATGCTGGATCACCGCTATAGCGCTGAGGTGGCGTCATGTGAACCACGTGAGCAGGAGCGGGTACTGGATCAGGAATGGGTTCTGGCACAGCAGCAACAGCTTCTTGGACGGCAGGTTGCAAGTGGGCAGTACGAGCCAGTATGGTTTGTAAAGCCTGGGCAAACTGATCCATACGGTGGTCTAAACCGTCCATTCTAGCCTCCTGATTAACTAACAGCTGTGGAATGTCAGCAGGTTCCATGGTGGCCCTGTTGTAATGTCACGATTCGGGGAACCTAACACGCTGACACACACACACACACACACACACAGAAAGGTGCCGTACCGGACCTTAGAGTGGCCGGGCTAAGCACGCTAAGAATAGTCAGGAGACAAGCCAGGTAAAGGGAGCCAGAAAACGGGAGAACGAGAAACAAGCCGAGGTCAAAGGAGTGGAGAAGACAGGATAATCGGAATAACGAGCCAAGTAATCGGTAACCAGAGAGCAAGACGAGAGAACACTACGCTACAGGTATCACAAGACCACAACAGGGCACTGAGGGACAGGAAAGGTAAGTATAAATACCCTAGGTTTAATTCTGATTGGATAACTTCCAATCAGAATTAACAATCACACGTGGGGGATATCTATACCCCCCACTGTGATTGTGGTACTGTTTCTTTAACGCCGGGTCACTCACGTGACCCCGGCGTTTACTTAACTCCTGGACCTCCCAGCGTGCAGCGTTATACATGCTGCCGCTGGGGGGCGTGGAGGACGCTGGCGGCGAGCGGCACAGAGGAGACGCCGCTCGCCGACAGGTAAGCAGAGAGGAGACCGCGGGGGGCGATGGACTGAGGGTGAGTGCTGCAAGTGGCGTGCAGCCTCCCCTCCTCGCCGCCCGCGGCTCCCTGACAGAGATGTGACACCACTTATGTGATCGGCCCGTGCTCTGGGGTAGGGAAACGACGCATGCTCCATGTGAACATGCTCAAATCCTATCACCAGAGAATAGAGGAGGTAGCAGCCATCTGTGCCCCAGCCACTGAGGATTATGAGAATCTGCCCTTGCCAGACATGTTAGAAAAGGAAGATTCTGCAGAAAACGCTACAGGTGTGCAGCTGGGGGAGCGGCTAAGTCTCCAGGAGCGTGCCCAGGTACAGGAGTTGATTGCGGCAAAAGGTGCTACCTTCTCCAATTTACCTTCTCCAATTGACCGTATTGGAGAGGCAGGGCTGACACTAAAACCTAGCAAGTGTCACATAGGGATGGCAGAGGTGCAGTACCTGGGTCACAGGGTAGGATGCGGACAGCAGAGGCCCGAACCGGCCAAGATAGAGGCAGTAGCTAAGTGGCCTACCCCCAGGACAAAGACACAAGTATTGGCGTTCCTTGGTACCGCTGGTTACTACAGAAAATTTGTGCCCAATTACAGCGCCCTGGCCAAACCCCTGACGGACTTGACCAAGAAAAACTTGCCACGACAGGTCAACTGGGCCCCAGAGTGTGAACAGGCATTCCATGAACTAAAAACTGCATTAACTAAGGCTCCTGTGTTAACTGCCCCTGATCCAACTAAACGATTTCTTGTTCACACAGACGCTTCCATGTTTGGATTGGGGGCAGTACTGAGCCAAGTGGGAGCTGATGGCGGAGAACATCCCGTAGCTTACTTAAGCAGAAAATTACTACCAAGGGAAGTAGGCTACGCCGCCATCGAGAAGGAATGCCTGGCCGTGGTGTGGGCCCTCAAAAAGTTACAACCTTATTTGTATGGACAACCATTCTCCTTGCTCACAGATCACAACCCGTTGGTGTGGCTACACAGGGTGTCAGGAGACAATGCCCGGCTGTTGCGCTGGAGTTTGGCGCTGCAGCCGTTTGATTTCACGATCCATTATCGCCCTGGAAAACAGAATGGTAACGCCGATGGGTTGTCCAGACAGACAGAACTTGAGAAATGATCTGTGAGCACTCCCCCGGACATCCCCAAGCCGATCCGTTGGGATCAGACTGTGTATGCCAGCTTGGTTTTGGGGGAGCATTGTGGCAAACCTAGCCACTTGGGACTGCCTAAGATAGAATGGTTGTGCCTATTTTCTGTTGTGTACTGCGCGCCGGTATAGTGTGGCGTCTCCGGCTATGTTTAATTTATGCTGTACTGTGTATGTCTGTTCGAATCCTCCCCATTCGTTAGCATTGCTATTAAAACTGACTAAGTTGTATATTTTGAAGTAGAAAGGTAACGGTTTATGTCCTCGTAGTTTTCATTACTGTATGTTACAGCAGGGGCTGTTGGGAGGAGGACCTGGAAATGGTAGTCTCCCTCCAGTCCCCTCAACCAAAACCCCTGCTGCCCATCTTTGGAAACCCCTGTTGAGTGACCTGCTTTAAATATCAGTTATTTTTAATAAAGTGACAGTTGAGTGACCTGCTTTAAAGATCAGTCTTTTTGAATAAAGTGGCAGTTGACTCTCAGACTGTGTTTCGTCTGGTTCTTGGGAGGATTTGGGAATATTGCCTGCTTCCAGCTTTGTACTTGGTTATTGCATTCTACCAGCAGAGATCCTGGGATTATAAAATTGCAGCTCCGCAACAGTACGTTTAGTATTATCGCTGGCCTATCTGTTCGGGATAAATCCCACTTGGTCTGGGTGGATGAGTCGGGGCAGGAGGGGGTTAAGTCTTTCCGTCATTACTTTCGTGAATATTTTAACGTCTACATTTAGCAGGGAAATTGGTGTATAGTGTCCGGGGTCAAGATGGGATTTGCCGGGTTTCGGTATGAGGCATATGTTCGCCTGCAGCATGTCAGGGGGAAGGGGGTCCCCCTGGAGCAGTGCATTAAAGAGATCACTGAGTTGCGGGATTAGGGCTGCTGCAAAGGTTTTATAATATAGTCCCGAGAATCCGTCTGGGCCCAGGCATTTATTGGGTTTCAGCGTTTTGAAAGCGTTAGCTATTTCTTCAGGTGTAATTGCCTCTGAAAGTCGGCTAGCTCCTTCAGGTGTCAGTGAGGGTAGGGTGACAGAGTCAAGGTATTCATTGATTGTGTTCGTAAGTGGAGTGGGGTCCTGTCTGTGTTGGGGGCTATGGTCGTACAGCTCCGAAAAGTATTCTTGGAATACTTTTGCTATTTGGTCTGGTGACTCCTGTGGTTTCCCGTCTCTCGAGTGGATTTTTTTGTGCATAGCTCTGCGGTTGAGTTTACGGGCAAGTAAAGAGTCGGCTTTATTAGAATTTTCATAAAAGAGCTGGCGGGTCCATTGGAGGGCCTTGGCTGTGTCCGCAGACATGAAGTCTTTTATAGCTGCCTGGTGTTGTTGTATTTTAGTGTTCAGGTCTGGCGTGGGTTGTTTTTTGAAGGCGATTTCCAGTAAGCGGAGTTCTTTTAGGTTTTGTTCTAAGTTGGCTAAGCGCTGTTTTTTGTGGTGGGCTGTCTGGCTTATCAAGGTGCCTCTGATGACTGTTTTGTGTGCCGCCCATAATATACCCGGGGAGGTGACGGAGTGTTTGTTTAGGGAGAAATAGTCTGTGATGGCCCGGGAAGTGGATTCTCGGATTGCAGGGTTATGTAGCAGTGTGGGGTTCAGGCGCCAGGACCATTGGCGGGTTACGCCTGGTGGGTCTAGAGTGAGTGAGATATCTGCATGGTCCGACCACGTTATTGATCCAATAGATGTGAATTTGAGCATAGGTACCACGGATGGGGATGTAAGGAACATATCTATGCGCGAGTGGGATTGGTGTGGGTGTGAGTAAAATGTGTAGTCCCTAGAGGCTGGGTGTTGGGCTCTCCATACGTCTACGAGGCGAGTTCGCACGAGGAAGGATTGAAGGAGTTTGTCGGTTTTTGCTCAGTGAACGCTAGATTTCTTTTGGGTTCCCGCTCTGTGCCTATCCATCGCTGGGGATGGAGTGGCATTGCAATCACCTCCTATAATCAGGTGGTGTGAGGAAAATAGTGCTAGGTGTGTTTGTAGTGCCTGCCAAAAGGAGGCTGAAGGTGCATTAGGAGCGTAGATCGAGGAAAAGGCGTATTTCTGAGGAGGATAATTTGCGCTTGGGTTCTATTCGCCCAGCGCATGGTTTGGTGGCGCTTTAGTGGGTTGTTGAGGCCCTTGCAGTTGATAGAGATACACTTCAGCGAGGGCGCCATGGATCCTCCTCCCCTATGTTCCCTTTCGGGACGCAGTGCCCCTAGTCGGTGTGCAGGGACACCAGGCGGGTGTGTGGGTGTTGGAAAGTGGGGTGGTGGGGGTAGGGGGGTTGAGGGAAAGGTTGTGTGGTGTGGTGCCAAGAGAAAGTTAGCGTGTAAGCTGTAGATGTGTGAAATGAGTCAGTTGATCCTGGTCTTACCAAAATGTATAGCCAGGTTGGTTGGGAGCGGAGTTTTGCCCCGCCTCTGTGCGCGGTCAATGAGGGGTCTGGAGTCGGGTGTGGTGAAAGGGGTTGAGAGTAATGGGGTAGAGAAGGCTGGTACGTCCTGTGCCTCCCCCAGAGCATAAAGCTTTATTGAAGGCGTGGGATTTGGGTGTTGCTATGGGTGTGTGCACACATGTGTGGTTGAGGTCATTGTTTTGTGGTGTTTGTTGGGTTTTTTGGGGGGTTACCTGCGGGTCTGCCTGTGTGCGTGGGTGTATCGTCGGGTTGTGTTCTTTGGCTGGTCTGCCTTCCCCTTGATCCAGAGGTCTTGCTGTTGGTCGGGTAGTCTAGGGGTGGACGTCTTAGAAGTCTAGGTGTGTTGGTGTAGGATCCCTTGGGAGGAGTGTGCCCCCTTGTTGTGCCTCAGTGGGGTTCCCGTCCCTTAGTGGCGTGATTAAAGCCTGTGGGTGCCAGGGGGTGGTTGCTGGGTAGGGGGAGGGTCAGAGTTCTCTGAGTAGGGGGCTGAGGTCCTCCTTCTGTCCTGCGTGAGTCAAATTGCAGTAAGGGTGAATTGTGCGCCCTGGGGTCGTCAATTTTGATGCGAGTTATTGCCTAGTTATTCCTAGGTAGGAGGTGTAGGTGCGTTCTTAGTGAGGGGCGCCTGTGGTAGCTGGTCACGCGCCCTCACCCTGTGACATGTCAGTCCGAGTTCCCCTTCGTGTCGGGGTTTCTTTCTCTCCCCGGCCTTCGAGGTGTGAGAATCTGTGGAGGTTCACCTTATTTCGGGCGTGGCGTGAGGGAGGTGTGTGACCCCTGTGTGATGGTGTGCGTCTGTGACAGTGTGGAGAGAGCAACTGTGTTTTAGCAATGCGAAATACACAACAGTGATTAGACAGTTTAACAATTTAACATTTTAACGTTTTAACATTATTTGCCACCCGTGTACCGGCTATCCTGCAGTCCAGCGGTCCGGTTGCTTCCACCGTCCTCTAGGGGGGATGAGTGCGTCTTGTCGGGTAGGGGGGGGGTGGTCTATGGGATCAGTCCCGTTAGGGCAGTTGGGTCCTCAGGGTCCCCATAGGGTGTTGTACATGAATATGTGTTCCGGGTGCTAGGGGTCTAGGTAGAAGGGGCTGTCTCCATCAAGGTGTAGTACCAGTCGGCTGTGGTCGTTGCTTGGGTGGGGGCGGTCGGGGTTTAGTTGTCGGGGGAGGGGTGCTGTACCTGGGTGGGACAGGTTTGGCCATGGTCCTTTCCCTTGTACAGTCTGGAAGCCTTTGCCGTCTCGTCTCTAGCCCTGATATCTCTAGTTGTGAAGAGGTGATAGGTCTTGTGCCTGCGTGCCAACAATAATGTACAATACAATACATAGCATGCAAAACATGTAGCATTAAGTAGCGGTTCCTAGCAGGGATTTTCCGTGGGTGGATAGTGTGGCTGATAGCGTTCGTGGGGGTTTTTCGTCTATCATATCGTGTTTAACCAGGTAAACCTGTTACCTATGAGAGTTGCGCCAGTGCGCCTGTGGGGTCAAGCAACCTGCATTACCTCGTGCCTTAGTAGCACTTGGGGGTGTTTTAGGAGGTATACCACCGCAGGTGGCTAAGATCTTTGCTGGTCTCAGGTTGTACTATGTTAAATCCCTGTTGTCTGATGGCAGCGCAGTGGTAATCTTGTGTCGGTGAGACTAGGCCCGTATTGGGTAGGGCTGGGCAATATTAGGGCGAGGCCGTGGTGGCGGTATGACAAGGCTAGCTGACGCGTCTGAGTCCCTGTTAGCATGCGTTGCTACTGTGTCCCTTAATTGGCTGGGCCTGCCTGGTCTGTCTATATTTACATGTGGAAGCATATAAAAACTTATGGGGGGGTACCTGTATGCTACCGGTTGCTTAGGGGGGTATGTTCCCCGCTGCTGCGGGGGCCATGCCGGGCTGGCAGGTGAGCTGCTGCCGAGACCCCCGGCGTTCAGTTGCGGGTGTCCCACCCCCGGCCGCGGGGGACGCCCGGGCTGTATCTGGGGGGCCGCGTGGAGGTCTGGCCCGGTCCCAGAGGTGGTCGGGGGGACCCCGCCCGTTTCAATGCGGGCGAGGCTCTCCCAACGTTTGGAGGTCGCCCCCAGGCGGCCGGTGGCGCGAGAGCCTGGGCGTTAAGGCCTTGGGGGGGGCAGCCCGGCATGACCCCCATCCCGCCCGGAGGGTGCAGAGTGATCCCCTTAGGTGAGCTGCTATGGTACCGGGAGGGGTAATGAGGGGGGGGATAGTGGCCCTGAGGGGGGTGTAATAGGGGGCAAAAACCTGGTCAGTTGTCCATTCTGCAGGTAAGTCCAGTTGGCATGGCCTGCGTAACTCCTCTTCCCTTTCCCCGCTTGTAGTTACGCGGTTTTCTTCGGAGTCTGTGAAGGTCTATTCCTCTTGGACAGATGTAGGGAAGCTGTGTCGTCCTTGTGTGATGGGCGATTCGGGCGTTGAGGATCTCTATCCGTGGGTGCCGTCGGCTGGAGGAGTGGGACTCCGATGTGTTTGGCAAAGTCCAGCATGTCTGCAGGGTAGTGGAGGGTGAAGGAGTTGTTGTCTTTCCGGACCATCAATTTGAATGGGTGTCCCCACATATATTTCCAGCCATGTTGGACCAGGGAGGTGGTGAGGGGTTTGAGTTCCCTCCGTTTTCGTAGGGTGGCGGGTGCTAGGTCCTGGAAGAATTGTAGCTGGTGCCCCTGGTGCGTCGGCGGTTTCGTGCGGGCCGCTGCCATCAATTTTTCTTTGGTGGTGAAGTGCAATAGTTTTACTATTATGTCTCTCGGCATGGCCAGGTTGGGTGAAGGAGGCCGCAGTGCCCTGTGTGCTCGTTCTATCTGTAGGTCGCTGTCGGAGGCCTCTGGCCAGAGGAGGAGGAAAATCTCTTTGACGGTGGGGAGGACGGCCTCCGCTGGCACTGATTCAGGTAGGCCTCGGATCCCGAGATTATTCTTGCGGGATCTGTTGTTAAGATCCTCCAGGCCGTCTTCCAGCTGCACTATTTTGTCTTGCATAGCGTGGATTTTGTGGCGCTGGGATTGGGTTGTTTGGGTTAGGCCTGTGAGGTCTTGTTCAGCTTGTGTAGTGCGCGCATTGAGCGCGTCGATGTCGCTGCGGAGGCCCGACATTTGCTTTTCGAGCTCCGCCGCCGTGTATGCTTTAATATCTGCGGATGTTTCTCTAAGCAGTTTCCTCAAGTTGCCCATTGTGAGGGGGGCTGAGGTGTCGTCAGGTGTGTCACTGATAGGGAACTTTTTAAAGTTCCAATACTGCTTTTTTTTTTTTTTGCTTCTTCCAATCGGTTTCCTGAATAAAGGATATTTAAGCTTTTTCTTTAAGTAGAGTATTATATAAATAAGCTCTTTTATTTGGGGGAGTTGAGTCCTTGAGCGTTAATTGATATTAGTTCTAACATTTTTAATCATTAGTTTTCCTTCATTTTTTTTTCATTTTTTTGTGTACTATTACAATATCTATTGTCCTTATCCTATCCAACCAAATAATCATACAATAACAATTATAACTAAACAACAAATATTTTAAGATGTTAAAGAACACATGGGATGGGCAGCAGCATTGCAACCTAGCTGTGTGATACAAAAGTGAATACAAATACAAAGAAACCATCCCATGTGTTCCCTATTAAGGGTTATTAAGCATGTAGGGATATATATAAAAAATACCCCTTTCTGTCTCATTAGAGATATTTTTGCCAGAAGCTCAAGGAAGCAAGGTGAATGGTTAGAGTTAGGACCCACTAAGAAGACTTCCTTGACTTGGCAGGTGGGCATACCCTCTCATGGTCATTGGAGGTAACTAAAAACCTTCATTTGTTTAAAAATATGGAAAGAGATGTGGAAAGAGCGCAGGTAACTTTTTTCTTTGGTTTTTACTATATGTATTTTGGCAGATGTTATAGTCATTGCTGCCGCCCAGGAGTAATGGGAGTTTTAGCGCAGGACTAGTTTCTTTGTATTTGTGTTCACTTTTGTATCACATAGCTAGGTTGCAATGCTGCTGCCCATCCCCTGTGTTCCCTATTAAGGGTTAATAAGCATATAAATAATACTCCTTTCTGTCTCATTAGAGATAATTTTGCCAGAAGCTCAAGGAAGTAAGGTGAAGGGTTAGAGTTAGGACCCACCTAAGAGGTCTGTCTTGACGTGGTAGGTGGGCATACCCTCTCATGGCCCTTGGAGGTAACTAAAAACCTCCATTTGTTTAAAAATACATAGGGATGTGGAAAGAGCGCAGGTAATTTTTTTCTATGTATTTTGGCTGATGTTGTACTATAGTCATTGCAGCCGCCCAGGAGTAATGGGAGTTTGAGCACAGGACTAGTTTCTTTGCAAATGTATGATATTGGTCTGTAACCATAATTATAGCACTAATGTTATGTTTATCGAGAAATGCAATGTACTAACGTTAATGACTTTGATGTGATGGTCATTGTTGTGTCCTTTGCCTACTCTTCCCCCTTTTGCTTTCTGTACCCTTCTTTACTCCATTTCATAAAAGAAAAACATTCAATAAACTTCTATTGGAAACATTAGGAACAAAAGATGAAAAAATGATAGCCAAAGAGAGCAAAACCAGCAACCAAAGCATTTTTTAAGTACATAAATTTTAAAAATACAAAAAATGAAAGTGTAGCTACACTAAAAACCGTGATGGGGTGTAAATTAATGAAGACCAGGAAAAGGCAGAAATTTTAAATAACTATTTCTCCTCTGTATATATTAAGGAAGAATCTATGGCAATAGATGTGCAAATGATCTGC